TCTATCCATGTCACAGACACAGAGATACACATTTTTTTGATGTCCACTATGTAGTCTTTGGGTTTACAGTTTGATTAAAAAAAACAAACAACCAAAACCTACGAGTCATGATACTAGTAACCCAGAACACTGACAGGATGTGATACTACACCTACTGCAGTGAAATTCTTATGGATTCATCTGTGCCTACATTGGAAATTCCAGAAATTCTTTCTGGAATAATTCCTAGGTACTAACATTTTATACACAGTTGCTGAGCCACACAGGCTATCAGTGCCTGTGATCAGTGGGCTGCCCCTATATTGCATCTTCTTCCTGCTTCATGCATCATCATCATCAATAACCTCCAGCACTCCACTCCTGAATCAGTCCTTATTTACAGCTACCTACGTTTCATGATGATGAAAATACAAAAAATCAGGCTTTGCTAAGGTGCTTCATACTTGGAAATTTACTGAATATTTACTTTTACATTCTGCTTGTGTGTACTGATCAACAGCCATTTAGGTGACACAGTGCTGATTTAAACAACATACTCTTTAGTGGATGGAACTTGGAGCTGGTAAGTGCATATTCAATAGCGTAATTATAACTCGCCTGATAACAAGATAGTCACAATTTTAATGCTGTATTTTTAAGCACACTGTGGCTAATAAGAACCTGTTGTTCTTGATACATTCTCATTTCTATTTGCTGCAGTTCTGCCTCCAGGGACAGGCAGAGATCTCTCCCATCTCTATGCCAAGGTCTATCCAGGAGAAACAATGAAGCAAGACTGTGAAAACTGCTCAGATTTTCACTACTATCTGTCAAACACCCAGAATTACATTCTGTCCTGAAAAGTCAAAAAATGAAGAGGGAAAAAATGGGCAACGTTTCTGGAATGAAGGGATGGGAGAGATCACGAGGTGCAGTAGGAACTGGTCGACTCAGGCAGAGACTGGCTGCTCAAGGCCATAAGCATGTAGGGTTCTTACCATTTACATGGTTTTCATCCAAAAGATAGAAAACACTCTGTAATTTCTGTCTACAGTTTCCAACTCAAACTTCCATTAGGGAGGCTCAATTTCCCTCTATTACCAGGTGAAGCAATAGTCTATTGCCTAGTCTACTGCAATATTTCTGTTGGGGGCGGTAAGAGGCAAGAGTCATCTGTGCCTACATTGTTTCTTGTGACTTCAGCTCAAATCTATTCCTTTATCTCATAAAAGCTATACTTGCAGAACCCTCCTTAGTGGGATTGACTGCACCACATATGAAAGCTAAAACACCTCAAGTTGTGTCAAGTCGTTCTACAATCCTCTACAATTTCAACGAACAAAATTCAGAGTATTTTCAATCCCCTTAAAACCCATCTCAAGCAACTCCCCTTGGACAAGATGATCTGTCCTCTGGACATGTAAATTTTCCACCATTGTTTGTACAAGAAAATTTGGGGGAATAGCTCAGACCTAGAAGTCTAACTTACACATCCATGTTCACTCAGTTTCAGCCTCTTTCTCAGCCTCTGTGGAAAATTTGTCTGATAAAATGGAAAAAAACTGCTGGGAAGATGTATTTATATTAAAGAAGGACTCTAAGGGATAGTGAATTCTTTATGGGGGGTTGATATGATTAAAAGTCAAGTTCTACAAAAAGCTGTTGTAATTCTTATCTGATTATTATGTTCAAGGCCAGAGCAGAGACAAGTTTGAAAAGCCAAGGCTTTGCATGTCAAACAGAAGCAGTCCTCAGCATGTGGGGAAAATGGCAGTGATAAACCTACTATTAGGTATCTGGGAGAGAAGCCCAGCATCTCCTCTGTGTGTGGGCTAAAATAGACGTGAGCCACTATCACAGATAATGGCAGCTTGTAGGCACATGAAGGGAGCAACTAAAATCCGTTTCACTTAGACAAGAAACTGCAGTCTGGTATTTACCTGTGTCCATCACATGTGAAAAGTGTTTACTGTGAATTACCCAAGAGAAAAGTGCAGGTTGAGGGGTTTCATTACCTATCTGAGAGTAGTTCAGATCACACACTGAACACAAGAAACCACAGGTAAATCTGAGATTGGTGTCTTGAGTAGTCAAATGGATAGCTGCTATTCATCCGAGTATATGCCTTTTTCTACAATTGCTGGAGGCCCACATCCAGAGCAGTGAGAACATGTGCAGACACACAGAAAATGTGAAAGTAAAACAAGCAGAGTAAGCTTTATACAATTTTAGAAAATTAAGATCACTTTGAAAATAACTCTCAGCCTAATGTCAAGGTTAGAGACTGCACCTTTCATCATTAGAAAACACAATGCACAGATATGTCTGTTGACAGCTGCTCTATAACCTTCCTGATTCTGGTAGAAGTTGTAATAAAGAACCCTTTCTAGGAATAGTTGGAATTCCTTGCAGGTATACTGTCATATTTTCACCTTTTCCTCATCAGAAGATGTGATAAAATCAATGTATTCCTTAATAGCACTTTTGCATATATGACAACATATTGTAAGTGAAGTGCAAGAGACTCTGCAAAACACATATACAGACTTTTTAATAAAAACCTATAAATTAAGTTTGTAAGTTTGCCCAGACTTTGAATATGTGCGAGAGAGATTCTAAAGTCACAGGTTTCACCAAACCGAATGCTGCCCTCCCAGGCACTCTCAAATTCCAAGATAGGATTCAAAGCTAAAGCACCTGAGAAATACTAGAGAAAATCATAGCCAGCTGAATGTCATATTACTATTTCCATGTTTGCTACTAAAAGTCAGTGGCAAGTTTTAAGTAAATGTAGTGTTACCAAATCTTTCCTTTCAAACAAGCACTTCTGTCAGAAGTGTCTTAATTTCTTATCACAGAATTTCATCCGCACAAGGAGCAATAAATAATTCATGTTCCTAGCTCTTTGTTGTGTGTCCCTGAACTGCACAGAGCTGGAAGGCTGACAGCTGTGTCACGACAAGCACCAAAGATCTGACATGACAAGTGACTAACAAGTTTCTTTCAGTCTATAGTGAAAGAAGACAACGGCATAAAGTGCAAAAACAAAATCCTGAAACAAAATGAAACTGTTTCTTTCTCTTTACCTAAGTGTTTGCTATGAGCTTATTTCCGACCCATAACCTCTGGTCATTTTATAGTACTGCCCAACCCCCTTTACTCCTCACATTCGCCTGGCCATTTACGCCTGTCCACGGATCAATATGAGCAATTCTTGGAGAAATACGATGTCTCCATGACAACCAAGCCACAAATTCTCAGTGGAAAGCAGTGAGACCAGTAGTGAAATCTCCTGAGGTTTTCAGACCTATAAGACAAGATGTCTTAAAATGCAGGAATGGACAGAAACAAAAGCCAGAGTAATTCATTGTTTATTACTAGTTTAATGATGTCAGATGGACTGAATAGAACTCAGTTTTTAAGTTTAGATGCTTTATCAACATGTATTTTTGCCAGTCAATATTCACCTCCTGACAGGCTTTTATTCTTTCCATTACTTCATATATATATGCAGAGTGCAGAATTGGATATTCAAGTTCCCGTCCAAACGTGCACACTTTGCCACACAGAATTAACTTAAGGTTAAAATTAGTGTTATCTTCAAGGTATATTAATTCTCACCTGAACACTTTAGTGCCACCTTGTTTTAACTCTTTCTCTCTTCAGAACAGATCAGAACTTGGACAATCCACATTTTTTCCCACAGTCATTGCTGAAGGGACTACAGACAGTTTCTGAAGGAGGTGCCATGCACCACAGATGGTAGGTGTGGTAAGGAATCAAACTTGGCTCCTTCCCGAGTAGATTATCTATTTCTTTCTAAATCTCATGCTGGTTTCTGCTGTACAGCATTGAGTCCAAGCCTACATGGCTTTAAAATGGGTATGGACTTACAATTCATTGGTTTCAATTATTCTAACATATACTGGTGTTCATTTCTGTGGAAGAGATGAAAAGGGAATGTAGTTCAAATCAGGTATATGACAGCAGTTGAACTCCCAAGGAATCTTGGAGGAGTGGAGTGTGCTGAAATATAATCCTCCAGACATGGGTCCTATCTGGGTTCTGAGATGACTTAGGGGACCTGACATGGATTTCAGACTGCACCCTTTGAGTGAAAATTAAATCTCAGCAGTGTTCCTTGGGGAAGGATCAGGGGACTGTTGGCAGCTGCCCCCTGTCAGCACAGGCTGCAAGATTTGGAAATCTCTTAACTAAGCTGACAGGCCGCAGAGACGATGAATCAAAAATATGATACACGGATCAGCACACAAAGATGCGAGAGGGTACACAGAAACCAGATAAAGCAGGGAAGGAAAAAATCAAGTGAAGAAAGATGTTTAACTCTTTCACTAATGAGGACTACGTGTAGGTTACATATATGGTGTACGTGCGTCAAGCTCACAGTTTGCTTAAAAGATCTTAGTATTTAGTCACACAGTTTTTAATCAGTTGTGACTCGATACACTTTATATTTAATTGTTTCCCTTTGGGATTCATTTAATAAATTTTGTAGATGTTCCATAACGAGAAAGATAATGAAACTACCTGAAGATAAATCTTTTAGTCACAGAAAAGGATGCACTTTATGGTTGGTCTTGTATTTAGCTGAATCAATGTTAAGAGTCATTAAAATGAAATAATGATTGTGAGCTGATTTAAAGAAAAGAATCAAGTTATTTAATGCCACCAATTTGCTTTCCTCCAGAGATACAGCGTTTGAATGTTCACTGCTACGTTCAACTGCAGTATATACAGTCCTTCCAGTTTTTCCTAATCTCATGCTACCTTCAAAGGGTCAGACATTGTGCATATATTAAGTAAGCAGGGTAGTCCAAAACTAATTATAATGAACTAGTAGTGTCAGCTTTCTTTTTGGTCATAAAGCCTTTATCCTTTCTAAGACCTGAATTCTTGATGAAAGAGGAAAGGATAACAGCTCCACACTGTGACCCCTGGAGGTGACCATTAATTTGACATTGCAGCTGCTAAAAAGGAAACAGCATTACAATGTGCTTTTTTTACAGACCCAAAAGCTGTGTCAGATTTATCACTTGGTACTTGGTGACCATCTTTAAATGCCTCTCACCTGGACTCTCGGACTCTTCCAAGACACATCTGCCAGGCGTATCCTCCACATCTTGGAAGTTTGCCGAGTTTGAGCTCTTGTCATGCTTCAGCGCACGGACTGGAGCAATAACAAATAAAAACAGGAGGAGGGAGAAATGCAATGTATTCAAAACCAAACACTTCCTGATTTTCTGCAGAGCTTTCAATGCTGAAGACATAATTTGTAAACACAAATAATAGATTGAAATAAAACAGAAACTCAAAGCACTTATATGCACCATAGCATAGTTGTAAAATCTATAGACAAGAATTCATTCAGTGAGAAGTTTGAGGAATCAGGTTAAATGTGATCCTTTTGAAGTAAAAAAACAGTTTCTTTTTGTAGAATACTAAAATAATAAAATAATTTAGAAGCCATAAAAAGTGCTTGTCTGTTTCACCAAAGAAGCCAGTTAATAATATAAAAGATCAATTAGGTGGTTTTGTAATTACTGGAGTCATTCACCAGGGAGAGAAACGGCATTAGTTTTAAGATGAAAATATGTTGTATATAACAAGCTAGAATGTGTAATAAAATTAGTGATAATTCCAAAGTGCAGTAAAAACCAGACTGAGTTTAGATATTACCAAATATGATTTCTTCTTCTACTTAATTACTAAAAACATTTTCATTTCAGAGCAGAAAAATATTTTCATGGAAATGATTATTTGTCTGTATACGACTTTTTAATTCACTTGGCTTTTGAACAAATCCTACATAAGTTTTCCTGAACAGAAGAGAGGTATTGCCCTTGTCAAGGTCCATTTCCCTCTCTTCTGCTCCGTATCTCCACATGGAGCCACAAATACAACTTTAAGATAATTATTCAACAATATATTACGGAATAGCACAGTAAAGACTAGATCTCAATTTTTCAGTCCCATTAAAACTCTTAGCTGATCCCATTTCTTAGGAAAATAGTGGTGACTTGAAAATACTTAGTTTTTTCTAATACCTAGAAAACTATGCAAGATTCCAAACTTCCATGTGGATGGAGATACCAACGGCTATATGCAATCTCAGTGTACTTTTGTCCTGTTTTCAAACCAAGACATTTGTTCCCTTATAATTTTTGATGGTTGGTGTTTTTTTTTTACCAAATGAATATTTGCTGAAGGATTACTTAATTTAAACACCCATTTTAATTTTCCAAAATTATGAGTGAATCAACAAGGCCTCAGGGCATTATTCAGACAGGAAGAGCTCAAAAGATGCATATTCCACTTCAGTGCTCTGCGCTTTCCATCGGTTTGCAGCTATTGATCCCAGGTCGCCAAAAGGTTCCATCATTCTCGACTCCTGCACCTACACAGTCTGTTTGAAGCAATCAGGGTTTCAATACGATTGTGGAAACACATCCTTGAAAATGCAATATTAAAACATATTAAATAATAAAATCTATGATAGTGACACCATGTATTACACCTGAAAAAAAAGCCAGCAAATTTTGCTTAAAAAATCCGCCTTGGATGGCAACCAACCAGTATATAAACCCCTGCCCAGGTACAGCAGGAACACTGGTTACATTTCTAAGCTTAATAAAAGCCGGTAGACTTGTATCAATGGTCAACTTATCCACATGAAGAGGAGTTTTAGTTCTTGTCTCTGCCACGCAAGTGTTGACATGATAATCTGCATAAGGTGAACTGACACTGAAGAACAACTTACAGTAAATAACAAATGTTCACACATGAAAACGCTACAATATGTGCAGGAAGAAATGTCTTCAAAGATATCTGTGTTTTTCTCTGATTTTCACAACATTTAAATAATTTTCAAATACACTAATTGAGGGCTAGGATTCCCACTTCAAAAAAGAAAAACTGGAAAATACAAGTGTGTATATTATCTTTTTAAATAAAATGTTTTGTGCCGAATTTATTAGACCATTCTTTTGAAAACAGTTCTCATTAAGCAGTCAGCTCCACTGTGCTGAGTGATAGATTGAATCATTACAGCTGCATGAATTTAAAAGTCAGGACTACTCTGAAGTAGAGCAATAGGAAAATTTCCAACAGACTATACTGTGATAAAAGGGAGAAAACAGAAAGTATGGCTATGCCTCTGCAGAGAAAGAGAAAAATTACAAGACCTGTCTTCTCTAAAAAACAGAGCAGTGACCAAAAATTCAGGATCAGCCTTTCAAAACGAATGATGTATTTTCACTCAGTAAAGAACTCTCATAGTGAACCAAGGAGGGGAGATCCTTTCACAGCACCAAGCGTCACTCCCAGTTAGGAGATGTCAGGTACTTCCCTTGCTGGAAGTCTGTGCTGCAATTGTTCTTGAATGGGCCTAGGACAAACCTGTTCAAGGGCTCTCCCTCTGTCCCAGACCATGTCAGCATAAGTCACATAATTTAAACTAACCTGCTTGACTTAACAACAAAGCAGAGCTGAGCAGTGTTTTCAGAGAAGTTGACAAGTAACTCAGAACATAACGAATAAAAGACAGCTAGACAGCTAGAAGCAGGTCCATACACAGATGAGATACACCAGAAGGCAGGCATGAAGTGAACAAGAAAGAAACCAAAACAGGCTGGCAAGATCCTTGGACAAAGCAGGAGGATCTCCAGTTGATATGCTTGAGTAGAGATCGCAGAGATTGGGGGAGATTAAGAAGAGGATGGAGTCACTGAAAGCCAAGAAAGACAAAAAAGAGAAAAAAGGGATCACAGGCAGAGTTGATATGGCTGACAAATGACAAAAAACAATGATGAAAGACTTGCACTGATAGCTGGCGGCAAGGAGTCATTAGGAACAGTTTAAAGGGAGTGGAAAGCATGGATGGAAAGGGTTTTCACAGGGACAGAGAAGCAGACCGCTAGACAACTTGTGTAAAAACAGCTGTCGGAGAATGAGGTTCAAAAAAAAAAGGGAGGAAAGTGCATATTTCAGAAAACCAGGAGACAGGCTGGGACAGGCTAGAATCGGGTCACCAGTGCAAGCCAGGGATGTGTGTATCTTAGCCTTGTCACTTACTCAGAAGTACACCTACCTCCCTAGACAAAACTCAGTCAAATAGACTTCACAATACCCTAGTTTATGAAGTTACATATTGAGTATACGCAGTGAGCAAGAAAGGGACCTAGGCAGAGACCTTTCTTTTTTAAAACATTCACATTATACGCTCAATTTGAAGAGAAAGATTCCTTAAAAATATCATAAAAGAACAAAGGGAATTGAAAAGTTAAAAATAAGGAAAGAACAGTCTGGCCCAAATAAAGAGTGAAAGTAAAAAATGGCATTATGTAATCATGAAAAAAAAAATTAAAACACCTTAACACTGACACCTGCTTTACTGTATTTTCCCTTAGGGGAATAGGATTTTACGTTCAAATGCCAATAGGGGAAATATTGTTCTAAATTGCTCATACCTAGGATGCTGATGGAATTTCAGTCATTTAAACATAAACAGTGTGATCTTTACTCATTCTGAGGATACTCTGTCCTACTTTGGATTTAAATGGACCTTAAAATTACTTTTGCTTCCATTTGAAAGCTAATTTGTGTAGCCAAAGTGATGTAAATGTCTGGAGTATAAATGAGCCCCAAATCTACAAGTCAGAGAAAGAGTTAAGAAACAACAATTTCTGATATAATAACTCCGATTAGATTTTCTTTTTATTCAGTACAATGTAATTTCAATTATTATATGGACAGTAGAAATTAACTTTGTTATCATGGAAGTAGGGTAAAAGGACAGATTTCATTGAGGCAAATGACCTTGAACTTAGCATTTAAAAACGACATAAATCTTCATTGTACAGGATCAATCTTGAGAATTGTGGTAATTTTTTCTGATACATCTTAATAAGCTCTTAAGAGTTGTTTACTGAATATCCGTTCTCTTACATTATTGAAACAGAAAAAGACACTAAAAAAAATAGGTATGGAATTTAGAATTGTAAAAGAATGTTGTAAGATACTAGTATTCAATGAAACATTTATGTAAGTAGTTCAAAATTATTTCAAATTCCACAAAATAAAACCAATTTATTTCAAAAAAGAGATCACAGACTGACTGGTGATCAATCTATGAAAGAACAGTCTTTGTATTTATGAACTGTTAAATGATAAGCTGTTCTTTGTGAATATACATGAATCACTAATTACAGCAACAACTCATCACTATCACTTATTTCTACATGTTCTGTTTAAACTCTAAAAAGCCTTGCCCCACTCTGGAAATATCACACACTAAAGTCTAAATAACCTGCTCTGCATACCAATTTTCAGAGGGCTGACACATTGCAGAAAGAAATTTGCATAACACAGGTGAATAAATCAGTTAGCATTTTCTGATAGGATGCCCTTGTTACTGATAAGGTGGATTAGTAGCTTAAAGACAATCTGTCTGCAGAGAAAAAAAAGAACTTACATCATTCAAAACAAGCGGATAGGGCAACAAAAATTATTTTTCTATCAAAAATATTAGGCAAGATAGGCTATTGGTGATAAATATATTTAAGGTCCAATACAGAACACAAGGCAACCTGAATCTAAATAAAACTGCATTAAAAAAGCTATAAAGGAAAACAAAATGCTGATATTTTTTATTTTCATAAATGGATAAAACAACTGTGCTGCAATGTCACTTCTGGGATGTGTGGGATCTACAGGTGCTTACCGTATTATACCTAAGAAGTTTGATGAAGAGCTGGGCAATAAATGCTTTGAGTATTATTTTAAAAAGCACATTTCATAGATAAAAAGCATAAGAACAGCTGTACTTGCTCAGACCAAATATCATCAGTGTAAGAGTCCAACAACCATACAGTAATACTTCACTAGAAATTTCTCCTGAAGTCAAATGTGAAACTCGAGAAATTCCAAAACTTCTTTTTTTAACATTTAGTAACTCACAGTAGATTTCTATTCCACAAACTTCTCCCATTTTCCCTTAAACACATAGAATTTTTCCATCCTTAACATCCTACGCCCTAACTTGCCTCAACATGGCGAGCTCCATTGTTTTCCCATATAGGTAGGCATCTCCTATTTGTTTGTTTGCGCATGTCTCTATTAGCTTAATGTGAAATTTATTCTAGTATGAGAAAAGGCATGTGTACGAGCCCTGCACATTCTCTCCATG